CCCATAATAAATCCCCTGCTTCTAATAAATGACTTTCTACTGTAAAGGTTGGTTAAGCAGCACCCTGCTGTGGACTGTTTGAATACCATCTCTCTATTTCTGTCTCCTGCCCGCAGCAGAAGCAGTTTTTCCTCTAAGAATATTGTCTATTATACTAACATGATGAATGTTGGTGCTGTATAGCCAAAAAACACTCTCTGTAACTTCTGGGGATAACACTCTCTGCATATGATAATCTGTTTTTAAACTAAATTGCTTTTTCTCATCAACATCCTCTTTAAAATGTGTATAATTGAGTAGAAGCACATTAACTGACACTCAAAAACAAATATACACATATATTAAAACAATCTGAATGTATATATTTGCCTATAGTAGTATGGAATGAGTGTGTACATATGTCTTTGGTAGAAACCTCATAATGGTACCAGTAGAAATGCAGAGGATCGCCAGAGTTATTACAATTTATCCTGAGGGGAGACATTAATACCTGTACCAAACGTCATGGTGATTCATCAAACACATGACGCAATACAGTCCACATTAAATGTAAACCTACTGCTGGCCATAGAGAAAGAAAACTCACCATATACTGTAAGTCCTCTGTTCTTAATTCCAATGTGATCAATGAAACCGTTATTGTGACAACTGATACCAAACCAAAAGGCTGACCTGGTGGTGGAGCTAGATCTATGAGCTAGATGCAAAGACAGGGGATCACCAAAGACACACAGATGTATCCTCAGTGGATCATGAATGTCTGAACTAAAGTCCATAACAATCCATCGTTTAGTTGTTGACATATTTAAGCTTAATATCATTGCCATCGCAAGGGGCCCATTATCCACCCTTAGACTACTTTCTCTTCTAAACAGAATTATCTTTAATTTTCCAAGAATGGATACCTACAAATGATATACAGTATATTATAAAACGGACAAGTCAAATCAAGCAATCTGATTGGTTCTTAGCCGTGATATACTGAGCGTATACCATGGGTAGAATTGTAAGTTACTTTTCACAACAAGTCAGTATCCCTCCGCGTCTACGAAAAACAGTATACCGATGGGTTGAAAAGCAAACTGCCTGCAGTTTGCTTTTCATACTGGAACAAGAAAGCAGCGGAGAAGTAACGGGGCAGAAACCCTCCTTTTTACGCAGCGGTCCAGACATAGACATCAAACGGCAAAACATATTCCACTGAATATGTTTTGCCGTTTGATGTCTATGTCTGGACCGCTGCGTAAAAAGGAGGGTTTCTGCCCCGTTACTTCTCCGCTGCTTTCTTGTTCCAGTATGAAANTATAATGTTACAGCACAACCAACAGCACAAGAGTGGCGCCTCAAAAGAGAAAGACAAGAGAGGAACAAGCAGATGCTAACAGCTAAACTGACGAAATTAGACCGCATTTGGTTGCATATATCGTCCTCGAAAAAGGCTGTTCTCATCGTCCAAAAAAATACAATATGTTCTATTTGCTTATTCATACCTCTTAATGGTGTGTTGTGTTATAAAACAAATAAGAAGGTGCCAACAAAGATACATAATAATCAATAACATCGTAATTATTAGGCTATTGGAGCATAATAATACCTATAGAAAAATATAGAAAAAACCTGGATCATGTATAGCCACGGGTGCCCAAGACGAAGACAGTCAATTATTGCCTTTATAACTGTTTAAAAAAATGCTTATTGAGAAGAAGCATACAAGTGTAAGTACAGACTTCTTTGGTTGAAACCATGCCTTCTCTTTTCCAACATTTAAGAAGACAAACAGAACAGCCAACAAGAAATAATAAAGAAAACAAATGAATACCATTACTTAGCAGACGCACCTACGAGTAGGTTATAGTGGGAAGGAAACATACAAAATCAGCTAATTATGCTTTTATAATTGTATATAAATGGGTGCTGACCATAATAGTAGGCCTCACATGATTTATTTTGACAAAAACTATTGCCTAAAAGTAAATGCGGATATTACTTTCTGATTTGAAACCTTGTTGACAGTTTGAAACCGAAGTTGCATCTATCGTTGTTGTGTGCAGAGAGACATCAGCTTTTAACACTTGCAACGCTCATGAAACCCCTCACTCACAGATCAATCTCTCCGCGAGTATTTCAGACTCTATGCTGCCCATACCCTAACCTGAAGACCGCGTGCTTCCCGCGAAGCCTCTTGACCCCCAGGGCTGAGAGATGCGCTCGAGTAGCTGACGCTGCAGCTCGGCAGTGCGGCGACCAGCGTGGGTCAGCAGGCTGCCTTGCCACAGCGCCTCCTCTGCGGACGCTCCGAGACGGCCAGAGGAAGGAGCTCTGCCACGGCCAGCCGTTTTGAGCGCTTGCTTCCATCGAGACACAAATGCGAGTAACGGGCATGTAGTAACGTTAACATTCTTGCTTGCTTAACCACCAAAACTATGAGCCGACTATATGCCGTTAATAACTTCAAGAATAGGTGGCCGCTTGCCTAGAATCCTCAGAACTGTTTACAGGATGTGCTACACAGAACGGGGTGAAGATAAATGGTGTTTAAGGTAACATTAAGGCTTGTTTTTTGGCCTTCTTTTCTGCCTGTAATAATGAAATGTCCCTCTGTGCGACTAATTACAGGTATTCTGATTCGAAGCCTGCTGCGGCTCAATTAAAAGAAGCTTATCAAAATGGGATAAATACATGACATCTAAAAGTTGTAAACGAAGAGCAAATGTAGCGTTCACATGTGAAAACACTTTTGAGAACTCTACAAAAAAAGCGGGAATCCGTAAATTCTGACCTAATTCCAGAAATTCAGAGATAGAAAGTATGAGGGGGGGGGGGGGGGATAATAACGTCAGTGCGATTCATAGGCTTAGTCATCATATTGATGTCGGTGTTTCTGATTGATAATGGAAAACAATCCTTTTGTATGTGTTATCAGATGAGTGTGAGTGTGTGAGAGATTTGAGAGAGGCCAGAGTCCAGTTGTAGTGAGTGCGATTAAAGTGTAGTGAGAGTCGAGAGAGTCGAAGCGAGGTTTATTGTGAGTGTGTCGAGTGTGGGTACAGTATGCCTACGAGTGTTAGCTTGAGACAATGAAAATCTTAGGGCACAGCTCCGCCAACAGGAGCAAACACATAAAACAGATAAAATAGCTGCCAAGAGGGAGGAGTGAGCAGAGAGTGAGTGTGGGAATTATAATAGGGAAAATGTGCAAGAATGAGTCTATATACAAGTAATTGGAGTATGATGTGGGTATATGAAGTAGTGGATGATATGAATGTTATGGATGTTCTTTTGAAAATGCAGTGTGTTAACAGTCTTATGCCCTGTGCGCGGATAAAACTGATATGGATTCTTGAGTTTCGTTTCCTTTACTGGGTGGCAAACGAGCTTTCCATCGGATAACACACCTTTAATGTTTGCCGTGTGCGCGTTGAGAGTGTGAGCGTGAGCGCTGGCGTGAGCGCGTGTGGAGTGTGCGACCCTGCTGTTTTTACTTTTACAGAGCTTGTTGCGCCGGGGCCTGTGGGCGTGATCGAACATGGAGCCCCCAAGACGGTGAGGTCAACCAGAGCATGCAGCAGGGCTGCGAGATCCGCCAGGTGTGCGGTACGAGAGCGTGCGAGCGAGCGTGTCGAGCCAGAAGCAGCGGCTCTGGACAAAACTGGCCAGTGGGTAAGACAGGTTGCCCCCAATCTTTCTTGTCGTAAAACATGCTTAAGCGTAACCAATAATCTGCTGCGGCGAAACGAGGAGAAGGAGTGTGAGAGTGCGCGTGGTGTTGTGAGAGTGTGTTGAGAGAGCTTGTATTCAGGTTTGGCAGCCTTGCTTTCAAAATGTACTTGTTACAATAACAGTGCTAAATACTTTACTCTTTTAGGCTACAGCCGGGTACAGTTTTGAGACTGTTTTAAAAACTTCCCTCTTGAAACATTATGCGACCCTTCATTTATTGGAATTGGTAATGTATTGTATTTCTAACTGCATTAGTGTCAATGTGTTTTTGTACCCCTATTGTTCACATTTATCTCGCTCATTTGACGTATACTCTCAAGATCATGCTTTGTTGTTTTTACGATTATCGATTCATGTGTGTGATTTGTGAAGCCCCTCTGCAGACAAATGTGTTTTGTGGATATTGGGCCGGTATACAAATGACAATTTGAATTGAATTGAATAACTAGTTACTTGCTTAGTTAGTTGTAGTTTGCTCTGCCTGATTACGTAATATCGCCTAATAACGTAATTGTGGTCACATGTGAATCCATCTTCAGCATTGTTGTGTAAGTGCTTTCTTGACTCTCCCCAGGTTCTGTGTGCATCGGGCCGGCTCACAGAGAGTGGTGGAGAGCTGCGTGAGGCGACGGTGAGGTGGAGCGTGCTGATAGCCTGTCGACTCCTGGCCATGGATGAGTTGTGGCCCGGGGGTGGACGGGCTCCTGGTCGGGGTTACCTGGATTGGTTACTCAGTGTCTCCGAGACGTCTACCCTAAGTCCTTCATCCTCAAACCACCTCACCTGCCGTACCGACCGGAGAGGTGTGCTGTGTGTTTTACTTACGAAAAAAGTGACATCGACTACGCAACACTCACGGCTTCTATTGACCAGCACTCCAGACACTCATTGCTATGTGATAGGCTAAGAGGCGGACATCTCACAGCAGCTTTAACCAATCAACAACAGAGCCGCGCCGCTAACCAATCAGAGCAGACTGGGCTCTGCGCTTTCAGACAGAGGGTGAAAAGAGGTGCTGCAGCACAGGCAGTATGAGGAAAATAAAGAGCTTTTTGAACATTAAAGTATTGAAACACGTCACAGTAGAGACACTAAATACAAAATGAACCTGAAAATGAGCAGAATAGAGCCCCTTTAAACCCCCCTTTTCCTCTCCCCCTGTCTTTTTCAGGTAATTGTCCAGAACTACAACTCTGTGCTGACGCTGGCTCATCTCTACAAGCTGTCGGACGCCATCCTGGTGCACGAGAACGACACGGTGCACCAGATCTGCAGTCAGCTGCTCAACCTCAAACACATCTCCTTCGCTGATGTCAACTCAGTGATCGCTCACCAGCTGGGCAGCGTCCTGCAGCCCGCGCTCACCGCTGACTCCCAGGGAGCCTACAGCAGAAACCCTCTGGGTGAGAGAGGCCACACACACACACACACACACACACACACACACACACACACGACAGGTTTCTCACAGTGCATGGATTTTCTGGATTTGGACATCAGGACTTTGACTTCAATAGGAGTATTTTTTTACTGTAATAAGGGACCCAAGTACTTCCTCCACCTCTGACACCTTGACACCTTTCCTACTCGTCTCTCAGGGGAGTTGGTGAGCGCCCTCTGCTGCCACCCAGAGTTCAAGCTGCTCAGCATCTCCTCCATCCCTCAGGTGCCCCTCGCCTCCATGGCCTACAGCAGCTTCAGCTGGCCCAGCCTGCTCAAACACCTCCGCCAGATGCTCATCTCCAACAGCAAGATGGAGGAAGGCGAGTCACTCTACATTATATGTTATTTATTTAAAAGTAATGCAACTAATTTCTTTATTTAGATTTTAATAGTTTTTTCTTTTTTGGTGTGCTTGCTCTCAGGTATAGACTGGACGGTGCGTCCTCCTGCAGCCGCTGAGCGCAGCAGGAGCCTCACAGCAGGGAGCTTCAACACGTCTCTGGCCAACGTGCTCATCCTGAGAGGGAAGGACGTGTACAGCGCAGAGACAGGTCAGAGAACTGGGAAAAAAGTGTTTATTAAAAAAATGAATCCAGACTCGATGATGAATCCACAATTATTTCAAGGGATTGTGATATTTTGGTGCATGCATACTTAGATTACATTTTGTTTACAGGTATTTAGTAATTGTTGATGTTTGTTCTGTCCCCAGGCGGTTTCGAGGACCCGGCCCTGTACTCCTCCTGGCTCTCACCACAGGAAGCCTTCAGTGTGTGGAAGTCCCCGGTGCCTTTTAATAAATATGAAAAAAGTGCCACGCTGGTCAGTAACAGCCAGGCTCTGCTCCGCCCCCTGGACAGCATGGTGGGCGGAGCCTGGAACATGTTCGCCTCCAGGTGAGTCACTCTGCGAAATGTTTAAATATCACTTTGAGGAAAAGATGGGTCCAAACACAACCTACTTATGTTAAACCCTGAGGGGGATGAAGTCAAGTTCTCCTGGAAGCTAATATGTTTTTGTCTTTTCAATCGCTAACAGAGCCTACATCCACCAGTACACTAAGTTTGGGATCTCAGAGGAGGACTTCCTGGACAGCTTCTCGTCTCTGGAGCAGGTCATCTCCAGCTACAAACAACTGTGCTAGAAATGGGAGAAACCAACAAGCACCCTCATGCCAAGGAATACCACTGTTTGGAATGATTTCTTATACCAACATGTAAATAAAATGTATTTTATTTAAATTGGAGTTAAAGCCAATCCTTGACTTTCCCCATTTTTCTTTACATCAAAAGTATCATAGGGACACTCATTATGGACTGAATGAATCAACTTAGACAATAAGCCTTTCTAAGGCACTCGGAAGGCTTGGGTTAGTTTATTTATCTTGCGGATTTCATACACAAAGTAAATTGAAAGTGCCCTACATAAGCGTTTACACACCAACAGAACATCATAAACACAGTTGAGGCTGCAAGAGATGCTGAAGTGTAATAGTAAAACATAGTTAAATCAGCTCTGGAAAAGCAGTGGTAAAAATAGATTTTTTCAGTCTAGATTTACAATAACTCAGGGTTGGGGCAGACTTCAGATGTTCAGGAAGTTTTTCCTCATCCAAAAGCTGTTCCTGCATGTTTGGTTCTGACCAGGTTCTGACCCAGAGTACGATGAATAAACCCCGATGCTCCGAGAGCTCTGGGTGGTTCCTAACAGAGCAGCATCCTCACCTCCTCCATCACCATCTGGTATGCCGCAACCACAGCCAAGGATAAGGGCAGGCTGCATCGGGTCATCCGCTCTGCAGGGAAGGTGATCGGCTGCAATCTGCCATCCCTCCACGCCTCCAGAACCCTGAGGCAGGCAGGGAAGATAGTGGCCGACCCCTCCCACCCTGTACACAAACTGCTCACCCCCCAGGCAGGAGGCTGCGCTCCATCAGGACCAAAAATCTCTCGCCACACTGAACAGTTTCTTCCCCTTCCGCTAACCGGTCTTAAAACAAGAACCCGCCCCCCCACTGACATCTTACCTCAGCCCACAAACGTGTCCTCTATATGCATTGACATTAATGCACACAAATGTTCATACTGCTTACTGCACATATTCTTGTTTCATATTTTATATCCTATAATACCATTCATCTCATAGCATTCTATTTCCATGTAAATTACTGCTTTATTTTATTGCCATTTAACTAATTATTTTATTACGGTGTCCTTAAAGATTTTTTGTTTTATCATTAGATTTCTCTGTTCTTAATATTTTTATGTATACACCATATGACATCAAGTTAAATTCATCAGTATGTGTGAACCGTGCCTGGGAATAAACCGGTTCTGATTTCTGAAATAATTAGACAAGTATTCAGGTCCCAACCATAGAAGCGATTTGTATATTAAATGGAAACTTTTGAAGTGAATTCTTTGGGATACTGGTGGAGCCAATCTGCTGAGCAACAGATCACATGCTGCTACAAAATGGCTTCCAAACAGCCTTAACAAAAAATTCCTACTTTAGAAATGTTTAGGAATAAAGAAACATGACAAGGGCATAACTTTTACTTTTCAACCATTTTCATTAATTTATATATTTTTCCCACAATAGTACTTCCAGAAGTGGGATGATTGACATTGGTCAGCTTACTGAAAGCCGGTCTGTTGAATCCACAAATAATCAATCTGAAGTGGAAAAAAAATAAAATGCTGAAGGTCCACAGACTTCAGCCAGCTTACAAAACCAATGTTGCCTTTTATAAATGTAACAGGCCAACACCAGTCTGATAAGTAGCTGACGCAGCGGCGAGGTGAATGAAGAGGAGTTCAGGATTTGAGAAAATTGATCAAGAGTATACCACCAGAAGTCTTCCTCCTCGACATCAGGTGGGTTAGGGCTTTAGGAAAGGTAAAAAGTGGTTAACTGAAACATGACTTACTTACCTTGACATTACTTCAACAAAGAGAGAATCAGAGTCACGATGGTTTTGAAGGCAGTATTTGCAAAGATCACAACATTTAAAAAGCCTCACCTATAGGCAGGGGCAGACTGACTAAAAATCAGCCCCGGGACTTAGCCGGCCCACTTGTCGGTACCAGCTTTGTAAATTTCATGTCAATACCCGGGGGGGGGGGGGTGGAGGGGGGGGTGCATAGTGACTTATCCGACGGCCCACCGCGGTACCGGGTAGTAAATTGGCAAACGGGGGGCTGCTAGTGACTTATCCTACGACGGCCCACATTCGTCCTACAAACCGGGCCCAACATCGTCCTAACCGGCCCACATCGTCCGACCGGCCCTCGGGACGTTCAGTCCGCCACTGGCCTATAGGGGGGATAAATATAAACGGACAGACTTGGAAACGGGTGCAAGAATTTACACGTTTTATATATGATCTGAATCAACCTAAATGTACAGAATAGAAATGGGACTAGTTAGCTCAGAGTACAATGTCACTTTTACAAATGATATCACTTCTTTTTTGTTTTCCCACAGACCCATCAGAATAGAAATACATCTGCGCATACCGTCAAAAAAAAGATATTAAAGATATTTAAACACAATGTGGCAAACCATCCAATACCACACTGCTTTATAGTTGATTATT